TCCATCCATCCATCATCCATCCATCATCCATCTATCATCCATCCATCCATCCATCCATCCATCATCCATCCATCCATCCATCCATCCATCATCCATCCATCATCCATCCATCATCCATCCATCCATCATCCATCCATCATCCATCTATCATCCATCCATCCATCCATCATCCATTAATGTTTAACAAATGCTCTTTTCTTATTAGTAAAATCAATTAAACTGAATTTAATAAAAAATTGTTCTTAAAATGGTCTGAAAATGAAAACCACGCCCCTCCTTTAACCTCTCTGCTCCTTTCTGTTGTTTCTTCTCTCTCTCGGTTTCTCTGCCGTCCATCTCAGACCAATTAGAAGCATTTTCCTCAGGATCTCTGAACTGAGGAGCAGGAAAAAGCGTTTGTATTCCTCCGTCTGGTGGTTAGCCTGGGAGGAACAAAGCAGCACTTTTATTCCTCCATTGTAAAAAAGAAATCCATAAAATCTGTTCTTTTCCATACCTGCAGCCTCACGAAGGCTACAGCGAGGGTGGGGGGGGGAGGGCGGCATGGGAAAGGCCTGTTATTTCAATACAGAGCCTCTTGCCAAGCTAAATATAAACACTGACCCACCAACTGAAATGTAAAAACCACCACTAATTGCACTGCAGCCTTGGAGCGAAAATCCAGTGGGTGGTTCAAAGCTGCGATTCAGCTGCATGGGCCCAGCCCTGAACGTGGGCGACGGAGTGCCCCACTGTGAAAGTGGAGCATTGTCCTCAGGACGCTGAGCGTTAGGGAGGGGACACAGTGTTGGACAACAAGTCTGCTCGGTGTCTCCCAAAGGGTGACGGCTAATAAAGCAGTCTGTAGACTGAACAATAAGTGATTAACAACAGTAGGAGGACTTGGAAACGTTGCTAAAAAAGAATAAAAATCTTTCAGTTCTCTGACAGTATTTGATTTTTTTTTAAAGGTTTTCTTTCAGCCACTCCGAAAAAACAAATTTATTTTTAGACATAAACAGTTTTCACGCCATAGAAACCAATTTGCAAACTCTCTTTTGTGGCAACACAACCATTTTCACTTCTGCTTCTTTCTTTGTCATCTGCATCCTACGGAGGCATGCACACTTCCTGCAAACAGGCCCAAAATAGGGTGGCCTTTTCTATTTTTGTCCTGTGGTTGGTGTTTACTATCTTTGCACGCTTCCTGTTTTTAAGCTGTTGGCAGCAGCAGGGCAACGCATCACTGCTTTACACTTTTTTTGCTCTTGTTTTGTATGTAAAAAAAAAAAAAGTAAATCCCTTTGTTGCCCCACAATGGAGAAATTGACTCTCTATATTTTTAGGGAGCAGTTGGCTGCCATTGTGCAGCACCCATGGACAGGGGCAGATTTAGGACATTTGTGGCCCTAGGCAAAGACAGGCAGGGGGCCCTCAGAACTGAGAAGACAACACATGGATAAATACATATTTATATACTGTCATGGTGTGTTTTTAAAGGTCAGACCCAAAGATGCAGAGAACCAGGAAAAAGGTTTAACCGGTTTATTGGGATGAAGGTACAGGGGAAGTGTGATCTGGAACTCAGGTAGCTGGTGAACAGGAACTTGGATGTCTGGATGGGATATCACAACGGTTAGTTCAGGAACCGTGGGAATCTAGAATGCTAGTGAGGGACTCACGTTAGGGGGGGTTCTTCTCTCACTGGCATCAAGTTGAAGAGTGGACAGGTAGACATTCTTTGGACCTGGAGGAGCCCTGGAGCGGACTGTCACTTGGATTTCCGTGAGGGACTGGAACGGCACATGTGGAGGTTTCTCCCCTGCTCAGTGTGAGCTCGGTAAACAATCCTTCCAGGGGAAGAAGGCCAAACATCCAGTATGAAGGAGGACTTCCTGCAAAAGGCAAAGACAAAAAACAAGGTTAGACTCAGAGAGACAAAGACTCGGTTTGACTCAGTGACTTAAAGACTCAGGTTAGGCTCTGCTAATCTAAGCATGGCTAGAGTACCCAAAACTGGCAAACTCAGGTAGCTGGTGAACAGGAACTTGGATGTCTGGAGGGGATATCACAACGGTTAGTTCAGGAACTGTGGGAATCTTGAATGCAGTAGGGAAAATGCTAGTGAGGGACTCACGTTAGGGTGGGGTTGTTCTCTCACTGGCATCCAGTCTGTGTGGGTTGATCAGAGAAGAGGGGACATGTTGAAGAGTGGACAGGTAGACTCGGTAAACAATCCTTCCAGGGGAAGAAGGCCAAACATCCAATATGCAGGAGGACTTCCTGCCAAAGGCAAAGACAAAAAACAAGGTTAGACTCAGAGAGACAAGGACTCAGTTTGACTCAGTGAAACAAAGACTCAGGTTAAGCTCTGCTAATCTAAGCTTGGCTAGAGTACCCAAAACTGGCAAACACTCTGGCGTCGAGGCAGTGACAGTCCACTGCTTAAGTACTCCTCCAGATAATGATCTGAGAGCCGCAGGTGTGCAGGGAGGACCAACAAGGACAGGGCGCCACCTGGTGGTGGAGGGAGAGACAGACACAAAACAGACCACACAAACAGGATTCCTGACATAAACACATATTGAGAAACGGCCCCAGGCTGTGCCGGAGTGCTCGCCCTAATCACTATAAAGTAATTATGCCATATTTAATTAGTGTCCAAACGTCTAGTGGATGAAAAAGTAATGGACTGAAAATTTCCCACAATGCACCTTGAAAAGCAGTGAACCTCCGCATCCTCTAAAGGCCGATTACGTCATACCGCGGCGCCGAGGCTAGTTCCGATTGGAAGGATTCTCGTTATGCGGCCGACAAATGCGTCCTTTTTTTCGCCCGTTTTAAAGGACAGCTCCGCTGTATCCTCCGTTGGGTATCCCATGATTCTTTCTGAGTCCAAGCAAGCCGGCTGCTCCGTGCTCAGAGGAAAAAGGGAAATGGCGCCAAACAGTGGTGAATATTGGAAGTGCAGTTTAGTATAATCCAAGTCTGTCAATAGTTCTCATTTAGGTGAATGAAAATAGTTGTTTTATTGGTTATTGAGTCAGATAAGTGGCGGTAATGTTTGATTTATCAAAAGGTTTTATCTGTCACTGTGTAAACGTGTTTGGCTGACATTTAAGCTCAGATTCAAATATCTCTGCAGGGTGGGGACTATAAATCTGATATCTGAGATGATGTTATTAGCAGCCGAACAGTAGTGAGAAGTTCAGCATCCATTCTTTGAAGGCTTTAGGTATCAACAGTCAGCGTTGCTAGGCAACAGAGTGTACGGCGCAGTGACAGCCATAGAAGGCTGGACCTGTTTGAAGCCGTAGCCAAAACTCTTCCATCCTCCAAAGATCCAGTCCAGGTAGACCGGGTCCCTGGAGGATGCAGCCTCTGAAACCCAATGATTGATGGTTTAGTTTTTGTCTTCTTTCTTGTAAAGCGGTTGGTTAACAACCTTCAGGTACGTTAGCGCCACCAACTGGAAAGGGCTTGTAAATTTGTACTTCTAAATTGGTAATTAGTACTTGTAGTTTGTCAAAGTTGTAACTTTATTATTGGTATTTCTATCTTCTAACAGATGAAACATCTGTTAGAAGATGTTCTTACAGAATATAAATCCTAATCACATATTTTCACTAATATTTACAGTTTATACATCTATGCATAAGTTTTCATTGACAGTTATCTGACCCCGATGGATGCAGATGGCTTCGGTGTTTTAGAAAGAATCCAGATGTTTGTAACTCCTGAGAAAAATGTTTGACTTTTTAAACCCGGATCAATGGGCTCTGCAGCTCCAGCATCACCGCTCAGTTTCACGGCTCACGTCGGAAACATGTTTTTGTATGACAGGAGTGGTCACTTTTTCCCAGTTTCTGAATATTTTCAGAAGGTTGGGAGCCCAGACTCTAACAAAGACTCTCATTGATGAGTGTTTATGTGTCTGTGAGCCTCATAACCACAGACTGACTCACTCTCACTTTCAGGAAGTTTTATTTTCTCATCCAGTTTTTCTTCTTCCTTTTACCCTCAGTTCCAACAATAAAGACGGAGCCGCTTGACGACTACGACGCTGCCCTGATGTGTAGTCAACACGGACCGGGCCAGATCCTGCACCCAAAGCCGTATTACCCCCCACAGGTCATGGCTCCGATGATCTCCGACCTCAGGCCGTGCGTGGTGGGCGGGACTTACGCTGTTAGTCAGCAGAGATTGGTGGCCAGGCCTTCCTCTGCTACTCCCTGTTCCCCGAGCACCAGCCCCAAACTTCACGATCTGGCCCCGTCACCCTTCTCAAAGTGCCTCCAACAGTCGGGCCATCAGCCACCCATCCCTCACGTCTCCATCATCCAGGAAACTCCAGGACGGTTCCAGCCTCCAGACCTCTACCCGCCCAGCAGCTCTTCTTCTCCTACAGACTCCCAGCCGTCCACGCCGACCGACGCCCCCTTCTCTCACGCTCCTGGCGTGACTCCAGCCCAGCCGGTCAGCGCCAGCCCCGGCGTCCAGGAGCTCCCTGAACCTGCAGAAAGGGGCCCGTCCTCGCTGCCAGAGGATGGCAGCCCGCCGCCTGTGGCCGTTAGCATCAAAGAAGAACCACAGGAACTGGACCAGATGTACCTCGATGATGGTGAGAATAAAACTTCATCTGTTCTTAAACACAACGGAGAACAGCTGCAATCTGGTGCAGGAAAAAAAAAGTAACTCTTCCCGTAACTCAAATCCTTAAAAAAATTTTACCAAAACACAGAAAATCTTTTCATGTCATAAAAAATACCTTTTTTAAATGTCAAATGATCTCATCTACTTTCATTTAAGGGAATATCTTCCTCTAGGTAAGAAGCTCTATTATTGAAGAAAATAAAAAAATAACTGTATAAATGTCAAAACAACGAAAAAGACAGCAAACATTTAGACTTCAAGAAATGTTCCTTTCAATCTGTGTATTTTTCCATTGTTGTAAGCAGAGCAATAAGGAATATGTTTATTTGTTTTTAATATAAAACGTCTTTATCTTATATCTAGTGCATAATATCTATTTGTCTTAATTTAAGGAGAGCATTTCTCATTCCATTAGAATATAATCTTACCTGCTCAGATTAAGGGAAAAGAAACTGATTTTAAGAAACTTTTCCTTATTTTAGGTCTATTTTTGCAGCGTAAACCTTTAAATCCTCCATTTCAGACAATATGAAGCTGAGATACTTTTTCAGCTTCGTTTCCTTTGTTGCTGTGGTTTGATTCTTCCATAGAATCTGCAGCTTCCAGAAGAAAAAACGAGGTTGGTTCAGAGCTAATATGAGGTAAAACCAATTGACTTCAATCCTAAAGCTGAATCTGAAGAGAACAGGTCATACAACCATGTATCTGTGAGTCCTTGAAGGTCCAAGACGTTCAGAGGTTCCTCACGTAGAGAATCTTCAGAATCATCAGGAAGGATCTGCAGATGATCTCTGGACCTTTAGATGATTCTGCATCATCCATCTAAAACGGATAGAACCAGCAGGGATTCCTCTGTTTCTGTACTCAGAATCTTCTTGGATGGATCAGCATAGATCAGATAGATCCGTTCTCCATCCTTTTGCACACTGGAAAAAAAGTATTTTTTCTTAAAATAAGGGATTTTTTCTTGAATTGAGGAGATAAAAGATACACTTTGCCAATGGAACAAGACAATTTAGATTTAAAATAAAAAAACACAATTGCATTGTCTTATTTCAAGTGCATTTTATCTAATTATCCTATTTTAAGAGTAAAAATACTAATTCTATTGAAACACTATCCCATTTACCTACTAAAATAAAGGGCAAATACTCTTTAATTTAAGAAATTTTTACTTATTTCTAGATTGTTTTTGCAGAGTAGAATCTGCAGCATCCATAAGGAGAACAAGGTTGGTTCAGAGATAATATGAGGTAAAACCGATTGACTTCAATCCTAAAGCTGAATCTGAAGAGAACAGGTCATACAACCATGTATCTGTGAGTCCTTGAAGGTCCAAGACGTTCAGAGGTTCCCCACGTAGAGAGGGAATCAGTGATGATTTAAAACTTTTTCAGAATCATCAGGAAGGATCTGCAGATGATCTATAGACCTTTAGATGATGCTGCATCATCCATCTAAACTAATAGAACCAGCAGGAATTACTCAGTTTCTGTACTTAGAATCTTCTTGGATGGATCAGCATAGATCAGATAGATCCGTTCTCCATCTTTTTGCACACTGGAAAAAAAGTCATTTTTTCTTAAAATAAGTGAATTTTTCTTGAATGGAGGAGATGAAAGATACATTTTGCCAATGGAACAAGACAATTTAGATTTAAAATAAGAAAACACAATTGCATTGTCTTATTTCAAGTGCATTTTATCTAATTATCCTATTTTAAGAGTAAAAATACTAATTTTATTGAAACGCTATCTCATTTACCTACTCAAATAAAGGGAAAATACTCTTTAATTTAAGAAATTTTTACTTATTTCTAGATTATTTTTGCAGAGCAGGAATAAGTCGCTGCAGCCAGGCTTTGAGCACTGGAAAAACAATCTAGAAATAAGTCAAAATTTTTGAAATTACATGCATTTACCCTTAATTTGAGTAGGTAAGTGAGAGAGTTTGCCAATGGAATGAATATGCTTTTACTCTTAAAATGAGATTTTTAGATAAAATGCACTTGAAATAAGACAATGTAATTGTGTTTTCTTATTTTAAATGTAATTTGTCTTGTTCCATTGGCAAAGTGGATCTTTTTCCTCCTCAATCCAAGAAAAATGTAACTTATTTTAAGAAATAATGACTTATCTAGATTTAGATTTTTTTCCAGTGAGGTGGTAGGATGTCAGATCATTTCAAAGAGAATAACAGAAAACCAAACTCCAGAGGTGAAACTCTTAATCATTATCAGTAAAGAGGAGTTTCTGTGGAAGGACTTAAAAAAGAGGAACTGTTTAATGTTTGCAGACTGATGGAAGCTGATGAGACGTCCAGGAACCGTTTTGGACTCCTGTAAAACCCTTTTCCAGCTTTATCTGACTCTCTGCTGCTGCTGGAGTCTTTGCCGGGTTATTTCTGCATCCACTGAGCCGCATGCAGCTGGGAGCTATTTGCTCTGATTGACCCTGAAGGTCTGGAAGCTTCCTGATATGGGGTAAAACCGATTGCCTGAATTCCTAAAGCTGCATCTGATGAGAACAGGTCATACAACCATGTATCTGTGAGTCCTTGAATGTTCAGAGGTTCCCCACGCAGAGAGGGAATCAGTGATGATTTAAAACTTCTTCAGAATCATCAGGAAGGATCTGCAGATGATCTATAGACCTTCAAATGATTCTGCATCATCCATCTAAACTGATAGAACCAGCAGGAATTCCTCTGTTTCTGTACTCAGAAGCTTGTGGGATGGACCATCTTGGATCAGATAGATCTGTCCTCCAGGCTTTTGCAGGAACCAGTCGCTGCAGCCAGGCTTTGAGTTGGTACGATGTCAGATCATTTCACAGAAGATGACAGTAAACCACATTCCAGAGGGCTGGCTGAGGAAGAGGAGGGTACCCATCAGGTCTGACCCATAAAACTTTCCTTAACCATCCAGGAGTCTCCGTCAGGCTGACCTGCCCGCCGTTCTCCCGGATCTTCTCCTGGATCGTTGGAGTTCTTCGTTGGTGTGAGCTTTGCCCTTCTCCTCGCCTTTCTTTCAAGCAACCTGTCCTCCTAACATGGTGCAGGACAAAGGTGTGTCCTTTGCTCTAGAAGGATACGAGTTCGCTGCCGAAACCAATTCAAGAGGTGTGTGGTTGCCATGACCCCCATGCTTGAGAAATAGCACGCCGACGCTGAATCACTTACAGGAGCTGTAAACATAGAAGGACTTAAAAATTCAATTCAATTCAATTCAGTTTATTTATATAGCGCCAAATTCACAACACATGTCATCTCAAGGCACTTTACAGTTCAACCAGATCAAATTGATACAAAGTTTTCTATCTAAGGAAAACCAGCTGATTGCATTGACTCATTGACTCAAATACAATCCCCCACACTAAGCATGCTTGTAGCGACAGTGGAGAGGAAAAACTCCCTTTGAACAGGAAGAAACCTCCAGCAGAACCAGGCTCAGTGTGAGCGGCCATCTGCTGAGGCCCACTGGGGTTCAAGGAGACAGAAGCAGAGATACAAAAAGCAGCTGTAAAAGGCGGCCCCGTCCAGGAAACACACAGCCAGGCAGACGAGCTCCGAGCCAGCTCCCATGCCAGAGGACGAAGAAAGCACATCCACTCAGTCACGGTCAGAGAAACAGGACCACACTGGAAAACAGGCCGATCTCCAACATCTATAAACAAGGGTGTTGATGGAAGCAGCACAGCTGATGTTTCTTTCCAGGATGACGTCACAGCCAAACAGGAACAGACGAGGCAAAGCAACTCTGAGGAAAAGCAGAGAGAGCAGAAGGTTAGAGATTGAACTAACAGATTCTGCAGAATAGGAGAACAGAGAGAGAATGAAGCAGAATGATGAAATGGGGGTCCCTATGTCCTCCAAAAGTCTAAGCCTATAGCAGCATAACTATAGAGATAGCTCAGGATAACCTGAGCCACTCTAACTAGAAGCTTTATCAAAAAGGAAAGTTTTAAGCCTAGCCTTAAAGTAGACAGGGTGTCTGCCTCACGGACTAAAACTGGTAGTTGGTTCCACAGGAGAGGAGCCTGATAACTAAAAGATCTGCCTCCCATTCTACTTTTAGAAATTCTAGGAACCACTAGTAAACCTGCAGATTGAGAGCGAAGTGCTCTGTTAGGAACATAAGGAACAATCAGATCTCTGATATAAGATGGAGCTTGGCCATTTAAGGCTTTATATGTGAGAAGGAGGATTTTAAATTCTATTCTTGATTTAACAGGAAGCCAATGAAGAGAAGCCAGGATAGGCGAGATATGATCTCTCTTTTTAATTTTCATCAGAACCCTGGCTGCAGCATTTTGGATCAGCTGAAGGCTTTTAACTACAGTTTGTGGACTTCCTGATAGTAAAGAATTACAATAGTCCAGCCTTGAAGTAACAAATGCATGGACTAGTTTCTCAGCATCACCCCTGGACAGGAGATTTCTAATTTTTGCAATGTTCCTCAGATGAAAGAAGGAAATTCTAGAAACCTCTTTGATCTGGGATTTAAATGACAGGTCCTGATCAAAAATAACACCAAGATTTTTTACTTTATTATCTGAAATCAGTTTAATCCCATCCAAATGAAGTGACTGGCTAATCAGTTTCTTTTTCAGAGACTCTGGTCCAAAGACTATAACTTCTGTTTTGTCTGCATTCAGAAGCAGAAAGTTAAGAGTCATCCAGGTTTTTATGTCTTCAAGACATGCCTGTAATCTATGTAATGGGTTAGCTTCATCTGGATTTATAGACAGATATAGCTGGGTATCATCAGCATAACAGTGGAAATTAATCCCATGCTGTCTAATAATTCTACCAATTGGGAGCATGTATAAAGTAAAGAGAATTGGTCCTAGCACTGATCCCTGTGGTACTCCACAGGTAACCTTTGAGCGTGTTGAAGATCTATCATTAACATGAACAAACTGAATTCGATCAGATAGATAAGATTTAAACCAGTCTAGTGCTGTTCCT